TTTTAATTAAAAATTTGGAAAAAAAAAAAAAAAAAAAAAAAAAAAAAAAAAAAAGGAAAATAACAAATAATTATAAATAAAAATGTTATAATATATTTTTAGGCTATGGTATTTTTAATAATGTCTTCAGCTTTTCCTCTTAATTTTTTTATACTTTTTTTTTTTAATACTCCTATTTCATTAAAAGCAATGTACATTAACTTATCACATTCCACCTTTATTATAAACCAAAAAAAAAAAAAAAAAAAAATTTTTAAATAATTTCGTTTACTTATAGTGTTTTTATAATGACTTTTATTTTTTCATATTTTTTGTTTTTACCATATTTTTTGTGCACTCTTTGAATAATAATAAAATAGACTCTAATGAATTTAATTCATTTATTTTTTGCTCATTCATTTTAAATAAAGCCAATGTTATCCTAAAGATTATTTTATCTCCCTCATAAAATAGACAATCCCATATACGTAATGTTGTAGTAATCTTAAAAAAAAAAAAAAAAAAAAAAAAAAACGAAATATTAAATTATAAATATAATATTTNNNTTAAAAAAAAAAAAAAAAAAAAAAAAAAAAAATATAATAATATATATATATATATATATGATATGCACAATTTGTGAATTTAAAAGATAAAAAAAAATTATATTTTTATATAACTTTTATTATAAATTATTTTTATATATTATGTATCAATAAAATATATACAAAAGATACATATATTATTATATAAAAAACATTCATTTTATGTTTTTTTATTTTAATATATACCGGAAAAGCAGTACAAAATAAACATAAAAGCCATTCCGAACATATCCATGATAGATCAACATCAAATTCTCTATAAGAAAAAAAAAAAAAAAAAAATAAATATTATATTTATAATTTAATATTTCGTTTTTTTTTTTTTTTTTTTTTTCTTGTAAAGATAAATTTATATGCATAGATACTTTAAACGTGAATGAACTTCTGGCATTTTCATTTTAATCAATTCTTCTATAACAATGATATCTCTACGTAAGCCACGCATCTCATTATTATAATAATCTGTAATATAATAATTATTTTTGTTAATTTTTTTTTTTTTTAATTATATATATACATATTATAAAAATATATATACATATTATAAAAATATATATACATATTATAAAAATATATATACATATTATAAAAATATATATATACATATTATAAAAATATATATACATATTATAAAAATATATACATATTATAAATATATATAAAATGAATTATAACCACTAATATTAATTTTATCATGTGAATAATCCGAATCTATTAATTGAACAATAGACCAAAATGCTAATTCTTCTTTTAAAATTATTAAAGTTATTGCAGCAATAAAATTCATACTCTGACAATAATTTATTTTTGGTTTATAAACAGCAAAAGCTCGTAAGACATTTTTTAGTTGAATTAATCCAGGAGAATTTTTTCTATACTTTAAAAAAAAAAAATAATAATAAAGTGTTGTGAAAAAAGTTATATTATAAGTTTATTTATATAAAGAATTCCATGATAAATATTATGATAAAAACAAAATCAAACTACACACACGTTTTTATTATGTGGAAAGGTTCGTATTATATCCAATTCAATTTGACTCAACACTTTTGGTTCTAATTCACTATTTAAACATCTAATATTAGAATAAAAAAAAAAAAAAAAAAAAATTGAATAAAGTAATAATTCAATATTTGTTAGAAATATTTTAATTGCAAAAAAAAAAAAAAAAAAAAAAAAGATCATTTTAATTACTTTTCATATATAGTAGGATATTTTAAGCATAAAATTATACTATCTAAAAGATGTGGCCATATATCAGGTCTAAATATAATAAAGTATAAAAAAAAAAAATTTTTTATTTATTGTTATTTTATTATAATTTTTTTATGTTTATGCAAATGTTTATAGTATGAATTTCATTTAATGTATTTATAAATTATTTTTAAAATAGCAATATTTTCTATATTTATATAACCTCAATTTATCTGGTATTCCTTTTCTAATTAATGTTTTTAAATAATAACTTTTTTTTATATCTCTTTTAAAAGTTAAATAAAATTGCCATCTATCACAAAAAAAAAAAATATATATATATATATATATATAATTTTTTTTTAATAAATAATGTGTATATATATATATATATATATATATATATATATATATATATTTTTTTTTTCAAAAAAAAAACCTTCTTTCAATTTTTTTTTTATGCTTTTCTAGAGTTCTTTTATCAGTTGATTCAGTAAAAAATTCCTTATTTTTCTCAAATCCATAATGATCATATTCATTATCTGTAAGAATTATGAAAGTATAAGAATATACACATAATTATTTATATGCTCGTATTTCTATAACTATATAAATTATTTTTTATTTTTATTTTATTTTTTTTTTTTTTATATAAACCACTGTTGGCCGTTAAATAATTATTTGATTCATTATTAACATTTGAAAAAACATTATCTGATACACAATCATTACTTTTGTTTATTTTTATCTTGTTTTTTTCTTTGAAGAAATTTATTCTCATTTTTTAATAAATAGCTCCTTTAAAAGTCATTTTCAACATGTTATATTTAACTTAATAATTACTATGCCATATATATATTTATATATGTATTTATATCTTATACATTATAATAGAAAATTACTATTATTTCTATTTTTTTTTTTTTTTTCCTAATTATAATATATTTCTTAAAAAAATTAAAAAAAAATATAATCAGTAATCAATACATATTTAAATAAGTACAATGCGAGCATTTGACTTCTTATTTTCCCAATTTTTTTTTTTTTTTTTTTTTTTTTTTTTTTTAGATAGTAATAATTATGTTAATAACAAAAAATATTTATTTTAATTATTTTAAATTAAAAAAAAAAATAAATATATAATAAAGTTTTTTGGAAATTTCTTAATTTATAACATGACATTTATAATGATTTTTTTTTTTTTTTTTTTTTTTTNTTTTTTTTTTTTTTTTTTTTTTTTATTATAAATGTGTTTCATTAAATGTTAAGGTATTTTTAATTAAAAAAAATCTACTATTAATCATTAATAAATAAAAACAATTTAAAGAAATTATATACACATATATAATTAAAATAAAATAGAAATGTTTTAATAAAAACTTTATATAAAATAACTAATTTTAGAAAAAAATAAATAATTTTTTACAAGAGCAAATTTAACGGAATCTTTATTATAACATTGAAAAACTGAGATACATATAAATTAATGATTATACTTTTTGAAACAAAAAAAAAAAAAAAAAAAAAAAAAAAAAAAAAAAAAAAAAAAAAAAAAAAAAAAAAAAAAAAAAAAAAAAAAAAAAAAAAAAAAAAAAA